TCATCCAAGAAAATTAAATCAAATTGTTATATTTAAAGTTTAGATTATTACTAGCATTATAACAGTGTATGTTTTTTTTTACCTATATAAATCAGGTTGGTCATAATTCTGTGGTTCACTGTGCTGAATGTGGTGATATGTGCATACATGTGTTGATGTCACTGTTTGTGCTTCATGTGGATATAATGTTTTTTTTAATTATTATTATTTGTTGTTGTTGTTTTCTGTAGATATTCATTTTTTATCTACCCTTGTGTGTATTTATTTTTTTTTCCTTGTCACCGTGGCATAATGCACATTCTGTTTTTTTTTATTGTAATATACATTTTATTTTACTGCTTTATATTTACTATATCATACTCTTATTTTCACTTCTTATAATTATCTGTTCTTTACATCAGAGCAACTGTAACAAATCACAACTTCCCCTCGGGGATCAATAAAGTGTTTCTGATTCTGATCTAATTCAAACAAGAGTAAAAAAAAAAAAAAAAAAACGTCAATATTGCAAAGTATAGCTGTAAACTAAATTTGTCTCTGACATATGGTGGAGTAGAAGTTAGTCAATGAATATGCAAGAAGTACAAGTTAGTCCTACATGTAGTGTCACTCAAATATTTTTCATGGGGTTTGTGGATTTTGGTTAAAATAAAGATGTTTTTTCAGCATGACAGTATGTTTGTTTTATTACAACAAAATCAAAAACATTTCTACATATTTGAGTAGTATGGAATTAAATAAGGTAGAATATCTTAAATATAGGAGTATGACCACTAATTATCAACACAACTACTGGATAAATATTAAGTTGGTTTTTCAAGGTCAAAGCAAATCATGTTGGTTGGACTGAACTAACTGAGTTTGTCAGATTATGAAAGACTCAGTTGGAACTACTTAAAAAGACACATGCAAATTTGTTACCTTAATTATTTAAAAATGTATATAAATATTTAAATGTATTAGATAAAGTAAATATTTGCAAAATAAACCATTTATTTATCTAAAAATATATTTTAAAAATTATTTGAGTAAATGTACTTACTTCTGCTACTTCTATTAATTCATCTGCAGTTAAATAAGTATTTAAATGTATTAGATAAAGTAAATATTTGCAAAATAAACTATTTATTTATCTAATATTATATCTAAAAAATTATTTGAGTAAATGTACTTACTTCTACTACTTCTATTTATTCACCTGCAGTTAAATAAATATTTAAAAAAAAATAATCATTGTTTAAAANTGCAGTTAAATAAATATTTAAATGTATAAGCTAAAGTAAATATTTGCAAAATAAACTATTTATTTATCTAAAATTATATTTAAAAAAATATTTGAGTAAATATACTTACTTCTGCTACTTCTATTAATTCATCTGCAGTTAAATAAATATTTAAATGTATAAGATAAAGTAAATATTTGCAAAATAAACTATTTATTTATCTAATATTATATTTAAAAAATTATTTGAGTAAATGTACTTACTTCTACTACTTCTATTAATTCATCTGCAGTTAAATAAGTATTTAAATGTATTAGATAAAGTAAATATTTGCAAAATAAACTATTTATTTATCTAATATTATATCTAAAAAATTATTTGAGTAAATGTACTTACTTCTACTACTTCTATTTATTCACCTGCAGTTAAATAAATATTTAAAAAAAAAAAATCATTGTTTAAAAAAAAAACCTACGTGATGCGTACGAGCCTGCGTGATGACGCCACAGCGTGGCACGCAGGGGGCGTGGCCGACGCCTGTCACTGCTGCGGCGACAGTCAGTAGGAGCCACACACACACACACACACACACATACGGATGGTGTTGCAGTTTGTGGACACACTTCCGACAACAGTTATCTTTGTATCCAACAAACGGATATTGCTCCACCTGAGGCAACCGGACCAGAAGGTAACAGCTAGTTACAGGTTGTTTTAATTCAAAATACGGAGCGTAATGACGCTTTTTATCCGCTTAAGAGCTAATGGTTGCGGCTTTGTTGGTGTTTATGGTGTCTCTAAGTTCGGAAACGGAAGCTTAAGCGTGTTTTCTTATTACGTTTTTACTAAAAAGGGCAGAGTTTAGTAGTGTTTGCGGCTCGTAACTTATAAACAGCAGAGCAGTTGAGTTCAGGAGACTGACGCCGGAGCAGGACAGGAAGTGTAAGGTCAAATAAGACATTAAAATGGGCTGAATGTGGCGCAAAATTGGGTTTAAGTGTGGTTTAATGTGGAGAATGTGCTCTGACAGGACGTGTTATGATGTGGAAGTGTTTCATTGAGTGTGACAGGATGAGAAACACCGCTGCCGCTAGTATTACGTAACTTAGTTAGGGAAGGGTGCATTTTCACACATAAACATATAGTATACTGCCATGTCATGATTGTATAGGCAGTGATGTTGCAGCGTGCAGTGCTGCATGCCCTGTCAGGATGCTGAGCGTGTGTGCACATGTGCTGGATCTGTTTGCATGTTGTCCACACATCTCACTGCAGGCAGGCCGTCAGAGAGGTTTAGAGTTTCGCTGTGTGGAAGTCAAGGTCAGCTGGACATCGATTTCCAAAAGCTGATGATGCTCTTAAAGAGGAGGAGAGTGACCTGCTTGGAAATGAGGCCCTTTGCTGTGGAAGTTTGATACATTAAATGTCCTCAGGTGGGAGTTTCGGAAGGCTTTTGCTCTGTTTGTTGTGTCAAGTCGAGTTTATGTTGTCTTCAAAGCCCAAAGTCCCTCAAACATTGTCTCGGCATGTGATAAAACAATAATTGAAGTCAGTTTAGGGAGCTTTCAAGCCGTCATTTCCTCTTCCACTGCCTTTGTTGGGAGTAGAGCTGCCTCAGGTGTCATCACATGACTTAAGCTTGATTTTTAGTCATATGTTAGAGGATTAAACCCGGCTTATGGCAGCTATGTGTATAGGCTCCACAAAGGTTTGACAACTTTGGCCCTAAATCCAATAATCCGAAGGCCATTTTGCATCTTTTCTGCATCTGTTTTGTACTCCCTGTAGTCCTGGAAAACCCCGCTATTTCCATTTCTTCCTGTATTTCCTCATAAATCATTGCCTGTCACTGTCTCTCCATCTTGCCAACTCAAACATCAGTCTTTCATGGGCTCAGAGCAGCTAGTAAAGTAATATCACAGAATAATGTTATGGTTTTATGCAGCATGTGCAGGGCAGGGGACCCTTTCCATATCATTACATATTACCATGCACCCACAGTTTCCTATACATTGATTTACTTAATCTTATATCATAGTAGAGTTGCACACACTCAGCCCCTCCTTGCCCCGCTCTCTATCTGTTTATCAGACCACAAATGAGATAAGAATTAGGAAGCTAGCCGTAACCACCCCACCCTCTCGCTCCCTGCTGCTGTGAACTGCTTCCCCGGGAGGAGAGCTGGCAGCATCTCAGTAGATGACCTAAGGTCAGTTGCTGTAGCAGCTGGAGTTTGGACAGCGCAAACCTCCAGCTGCACATGCCCAGCTGCAGCGTAGTGTCTAACCTGTGTAACAGCAGCAACAGAAAGTTTGCTGATCTGGCAAGGAGTTGGGGCTGTGCGGTACCCAGGAGCTGCTGCCCATTCTCCCGGTGAGGAGGCCATAACTGCGGGGAGTGACGTGGAGGACACAGTGCGATTCAAGACTCTGACGTTAGCTACATAAATGTGAACTTAAAGCTGCAGCTGTGAACCTTTAGCTACGGTTAGGAGAAAGCAAAACTGTAAGCAACATTAGCCGCTTTTACACTGCCAGATTTTCCGCAAACGTTGGGCCGTTTTGCCGGCCAGCTGCGAGCGTTTAGACACACAGAGCCGGATTGGCGAGTTGATCCGAGGCGCCCAATTTTCCGCCTCGTAGGGTAGTCATGTTGGCGGAACCTTTTTAGTTTAAACAGACCGAGGCGGCCTTCCGCAACGGGAGGGGCTGTTGACAACGCCACTCTCTTTTTGATGAGTCTGTCTTCCTTTTTTGGGTTGCTCTGCAGTGTAGGTAGTTGTTACCGATGCTGGATTAGCAACTTTCTCTGCAGGATTCTCTGCCATTGAATCAGACTTTCACCATCTGAAGGGACGTGCATGCACCTTTAGATTTGCCTCTTTCTAAAATCAAGTCTCCCATCACTGCTAGGTTTTCTAAAGCCTGAAAACAGAGCCAAGAGGAGGCGCATGCTTCTCGAACATGAGATATTTTCTGCTCTTTTCTTTTTCATTGAATTGTAAATTTAGTATTTTTAGTGGCTTTGACTGTTGTTTGGACGCAGCAGCCAACTTCAGAAGCTTTGATGGGCATTTTCAGAATTTTCTGACATTTTCTTAAAATCAGCAAATTGTTAGATGTTTATAAAATAATTGCAGCTTTAAAGCACTGGTAGCGAAACCCAACATTAGTCGGGCCTTAATTACAAGCTGTGCGTCAATGCAAATTAGGCAGCTATGGTGATTTGATAGGATGCAACTAACAATTACTTTCATTATCAATTAATGTGCAGATTGGTTTGGAAAGAAGAGGAAGATGCCCGCAATATAAAGCACGAAGACATCTAGGTTACTAATTTGTCGTTGATTGTTATTGAACAGTCGTCAGAGGGGAGGTGAAGCATATTTTTGAGGCCGCTGACCGCTCGGATCTGTATCGATGAAGTGTGATTTGATTCGAAATCACATGGTTAGCGTCTCCGTCATATCTCCGTGTGCATGTGTGTGTGGTGACTCATCAAACTCTCCCACTCAGCTCAAGAGGGTCGCGCAGACGCCTGTTGATTCATCCTCATCTGTGTCTCCCTCTGCAGCTGCCTTTCTTGCTCTCGTCATACGACTGCTTTTAAAAGATGGAGGAAGAGAAAGGATATAGTAGATAATATAATGAGGAGATGCAGGTGGAGGGACGCTCTGTGGGTCTCTAATGAGCTGTGTCATCCTCTTCACCTAAAATAGATCGCTCCATAACCCACCCTTATCATTATTATATATTCAGGAGGCATGGCTCCAAACATTTCCAGAAGCTAGACACATATACATAAAAAGTGAATAAATACAGTATACATAATAAAGACTCCAGTTCTTTAATTTTTTCAACCAATTTGGCAAATTTATGCTTAATTATTAACAGAGGACAGATGCACAACATCTCTGTAAGTGCACATACACTCAGTTGGGATGATCTGACCAACAGCACACAGACAAACTGCTCTGCTGCCGCTTGGTGCTCTCATGCAACGGTCGGATTAATTATTGATGAGCATCGGGGGAATATGGAGAGGCATCAAAAAGAAGAGTGAAACCTGTGTGTGTGCCAAAGATAGGACCACCACATGGATGGCACAGCAAAAAAAAACGTGATTTGTCTCCCCACAGTACCGTTGCTGTTTACGAGCCATCTCCACTGCAAAAAATATCTGTTGTACGAAGCATTCTACCCCTATAAAAATATATATTTATTTATTTTCTTAGACCAGTTTGGCTTTTTTACGATCATTTTGATCCAGCAGTGCAGAGAACGACTTATTTTTCCTCTGTGTAGAACTTAAATGATTTGTCTGTGTATTGGCAGAAAATGAATGTGCAACTTTTTTTGATATTTTTCCAGCTTCAAAAATATGGTGATGATGCTTTCTTTATTCTTAATATATGGAGACATAAACTATAAAAAAAATTGTCTCTCTAGTTGCTGCTCTTGCTTCTTCGTCTTCTTCTCTGTGTTTATGGCGGTGTTGATGCTGCACCACTGAAGTCAGTGAAAGCAGTTTTGCTTTGTATTATCAGCTCTATTTATCAGCTATGATTCTATTATAAGAATAATAAATGATAATATAAATTTCCCATTATCGGCTGATAATCTATTGGCCCAATATGTGCAGCAGTGTCTGTAAAGCTACAGCAGCGCTCGACAGTGCTAGAGTTTCACTCGCATTTGCGACAAAAAATAGGTGTGTGCGAACTGTAAAAATTATTTTGGGGTACATGTGCGCATAAAAAAATCAGCCGAAGCAGCCTATATTTTTATCAATAAAAAAATATGATAATCTAACCGCAAATGTTGGAGGAACTCCAGCCATCTTCCCTCTTCCCCGTGTGACACGGTTATGGGCGGTTTTCCAAGCCACTGTCGGCTAGTGTTGTCACGATACCAAAATCTTTGTTTCGGTACCAATACCAATATGAATTTCGATACTTTTCGATACTCTTCGGTACTTTTCCTAAGGAAAAGTCCTTTTGGATACAAACCTTTAGAACAATAAATAGTAGGGGTGTAACGGTACCAAAAAAAAATCATGGTTCGGTAAGTACCTCGGTACGGATGTTGCAGTTTGGTTGCTCAAATGTTTCACTAAGTTTGTGTTGTCTCGTGTTGTCTCCCTTTGCGAGGTAGACTTTCTCTTGCGCCAGCTGCGAATGTTGATACAGGTGTTGTCATACACACCACTTGTGCAATATGTGCTCCAATAGGAACAAGAAAGGCGTTTGTGTGCGTAATTGAGTAAAATAAATTAACTAAATTAATGAATTGAATCAATTTCAAAGTACCGGTATTTTCCAAATGCAGTATAGTACCGATTGGAATACTCTAGTACTGCGGTACTATTTTAGTACTGGTATACCGTGCAACACTACTGTCGGCACAATGAATGTAAGTCCCACTGTCGGCAGCATGGAAATAAGTCAAAGTGTGGCGGAGAAGAGGGACCGGGAAAAGCGGCAGACCTCTGGGGAAGCCTGCCGTTCTCCCCGCAGCTAGGGACCGTTCGCCACAGTACCGCTGCTGGGCAGGGTGGAAATAAGTCCTGCAGAGTTTCAGAGGACCTGGAGAATGTTTTAGGATAGTAATAACATTATATAAGATAATCGTTTTGCAAAGATAATATATATAAATAATAACATTAAAGACAAAATTAAATTGCAATACTTTTTCAAAACTTGATGATTTTACCTTTCTGTACATTTTGTATACAAATTCATTAAATAATTTTGCTTGTAAATGTCTATTTGCATCATGTTTATTACGGAAAACACATTATTTGATCAATTTACATTGTGCCCCTAAAGTTCTTTGTGCGCTCCTTACTTATTCAACTTAGGAGCACATGTGCTCCTTGGGAAAAAAGTTAGCATCAAGCCCTGTACAGATAGAACAGGATGTTATTTTATTCTGTACATGTTAAGTATTGACAAAAACTTGTGCCGAGCGCCAATTACCAAACGGTTAAATACCAAAAAGCCGGCATCGCATTTCAAGTCAGATTTCTAACCTTGTTACTGATTCTCTGAATAGATAGTACCTAATTTAGGTAAATATTTTGCCAATTTGAGAGTAATTTTCTTAGGAAAAGATGCTGAAAACACTTTGGAAAGCAGATATAAACATCTGTCTTTAATCCTCGTATGTAAAGTGCAAATTTGTCTATATGGCTATAGATAGGATAGGATATTGTTTGTTGACAAAAACTTGTAATTTACATTAATATTTTGCCAGTTTTAGAGTTTTTTTCTTAGGCAAAGATGTGGAAAGTCTCCTTGTATTTACACATGTAACATTTGAGAGGTGTCGTCTGCTTTTATAAAAGGGTTTCGTACAAAAACATATCAATATTTGTCAAAGTAAGGAATATAAAAAAGTACTTGTCACCAAAACTCAATTGTTATTCAGTCCATAGTCCAAAAGCCAAATATGTTTGAGCTTGTGGTTTTTGATGTATAAAAACTGAGTAACTGCAGCAAATCCTGACACTGAAGAAGCTGGAACCTGCAAATACACTCAGCTGTCAGTTTATTAGGCACATCTTGCTCTAACTAATGCAGTTCAAATCAAAAGTCCTGTAATAAACCCTGTTTTCATGATGTTCACTTTCCGTTGCATCCCCAGTGGGAGAGACAGCGCTGTTTTTGCTGCAGACCAGGCAGAGAAAGAGTTAATTGGCTTGAATGTTTGGGAAGCAGCGAGCTGTTGGAGGGAGAGGGAGAGGGAGAGGGAGAGTGAAGGGTGAGGAGGAGAGATGGAAAGCAGGAGGAAGAGGAGAGGGCGAGGGCTGGCTGCAGTCTCTTTGCCTCGTGACGGCGTCTGCAGCGTGAGTTTGTTTACATCCATCGGCAGCAGACGTCCTCGGGTATGTGTGTGTGAATTCAGGCTGCCATCTGTTTTAAGCTAGCGTTTTGACCAGCATCACCCAGCTTTGGACTGTGATGCTGGTTTAATGTCTTGAAGATGACATCTGAGCTGTGTTTGGGCATTTGGGAGAAAATGCACAATCATGCTGTATGCTAATAGGTCATCTTCTCACCAATGGTAGAATCTCGTGCAGGGAGTGATTTTAAAACGATGCTGTGCTAGCTCAGTCAGTGCTGCTGGACAGTTTCAGTGCTCGGGAAAGGGACTTCCTGTGCCAGTGTCAGTGCAGTGCACAGGTAGATGTACTGTGCTTTTCACTTTGTGGATTAAAATGCTGTCATTTTGCAAACGGACAGCCAGGCAGGAGAGACAGAGGAGACGAGCTTGGAGAACATGAGATGAGTAGAATTAAATGTCGGTTATCGTGCAGACAGAATGTCTTAAAATGAGCAGGGATGGCAAGCTCTAGTAATGGGATTACTTCTGAGTTAGGTGACCTCCAGGAGACTGTGGCAGAAGTAGCTAGCTACCCCAACCTGATGTATCTCGATTAAACAGTATCAAAGCTTCCCAATTAATCCAGAGTTCCAACGTTAACGGAATTCCTGAAAAAGTCATAAAGTAATAAAAACTGTTTTTCTAGAAATAGTTTGGAATCAACAGAATGAATTTGTTGTTTAAAATATGTTAGTAAAAGTCACAAAACATGCCAACGTTACGTGAAATACATTGCTTTTATTAGGAAGACGTGGCCGTCATCACCACGGCCACGCCCCCCTTCGGAGGAGAGAAACATCCTGTTACATCAGGAGAGAAACAGAAAAATGCCCAAAAGTAGCAGGTTATATTCAAGGCTCTCACACTGAGATATTACTGTGCGTTCACACCAAATCACGTATCGCGTCGCTTGTTCACAAATGTCACCTTTTTGATCATCGCTTCATCGCTTCAATCGCGATGACGCAACCCTCCTCCCAAAATTTTCTTCACCTCAAGCTATTTTCTCGTCAACCATGGCTGAGTTAACTACCGTAGCTGCTCTTTATCTGTTGTGGACATCTGATTTGGATCGGAGACCCAAACGCCGCCGTGTCTGGGTTCACAATATCCTCCAGAAACGCACACAGCTGGGTGAATATCATCACCTCCTGCAAGAGCTGCGTCTGGATGAAGGTCGTTTCCAGTGGTACTTCAGGCTGACGCTGGCCCAGTTTGAGGACCTGTTGGCCCGTATCGGTGCGCCTGGATGCCAACTACAGGCGCTCCATCCCAGCTGCGGAGCGCCTGTCCATCTGTGTGGTTGGATATCAACGCTGATTGGATGTCGTGGCACAGCGTCACGCGATGTCGCTTGAAAAGTTCAAATTTTTCAACTTCAAGCGACACACGCGATGAAGCGATGGACGCGCCATCGCTCTTATCGCCTGAAACGCGTCGCCCAAAGCGCCATCGCGTGTCATCGCGTCATTTACGTTGATTTTGAATGGAAACTTGTGGCGTTCATCACGTCCATCGCGTTTGGTGTGAACGCACAGTTAGACACCTGAGGTACATGAATATTCTATACAAATGATGCTGGTGGCAGTTATGTCTGTCTTAATCTTAGCTGAGATTGAACAGCTTATTTACAGAGAACACTTGGCTCAACAATACTTGGTAATTCAGTGAAATAGGTATAGATGTCCAGATGAGCAACATCTAGACATTGATCCTCTTGGGCAGAGGAAGACTGAAGGAATATGACGACAATCCACCTTAAGTTATTGAGGTAATGCGGATTCTCAGGCTCAGGTAATATCACAAAATAATAGTTAGATGTATCCGTAAAGCAAACGTTTGTTTAAGAAGAAATAAATGTATATAAATTCATCAAAATTCAAATCCAAATGGTTTCAAGGTACACTGTGATGTTAAAGAGAAATTTTGGTTTATTTCAACCCGTCTCCTATCGTCCTAAATTTGTTTCAAGTGACTAGTGACATAAAAATAATAGTTAGCATGTTAGCCGTTAGCCTAGATACAGCCGGGGCGCATAGTAGCGTCAGACCTGTTAAAACGTAAGTGAACGGGCAACCTTCAAGTGCAAAGTTAGTCCACTAAACAAGCTTTTTTTCCACAAAGACCGCCTCATATCGTTTGGATAAATGTCAGAGAACATATAGAAAATGACATGTAAACATGTTGTCTTACCTTACCGGTGTGCTGCCATGTTTGTTTACCATCTAGCTCTGCTTTCGTTTGACATCGCCAACATGGGGGAGAAGGCGATTCTGAGCCACGTGAAAGGAAAAAACACAGACGTCTCGTTACTGCATCGCTTGCACCCAGAGTCCCAACCTTTTTGCCTCAGCCCAGACATTGAACTTACCTGAGTTTTTATTTGCATGCCATTATGGTACTTGGCTACAATCGCCTGTTAGGAATAATTAAATATGATGTGAAATATGATACACTGATATATTTACTCAGATGTTGAATATTCTCTGAAAAAAAACAACAAACAAACAAAAAAAAAAACGCAGAGAAGTCTGGAAATTAGGGTATGGAAAAGTATGGAATTTTGAAATTCCAAATGTGTAGGAACCCTGAATATAGTAATAAAACATTTGTTTAACCAAAAACAATCCTCACATTTTAATACTGTATTACTGTGATACAGTGAAACAGCATTATTTTCTGAGAGGGTTATCATACTGTGAAAATCTCATCTCTTTTTTTTTTAATCTGACAAAATGGGGCGAGGCCTTGCTTTTTGCAAAGCACCCATTTGTGCTGAAGTAGCCGTATGTGCTGGTCTACCGGCAGTGGGCATATGCAGCAAGTTAGCAGTTTTCTTTTCGAAATGTAATGTAAGAATTTATTAAACTAAGATTAACTTAAATAAAAAATGGAGTGTGTAGGTCAGCAAAGTCAGTAATGAACTCTATGGCCTCTAGGCGGGGGCGCAGCGCACCTGCGCTTCGCCAACTGGGTGTGGCCAGGCGGATTTTGCAAGTTTGACGCAGCTACTCCTCTTTCCCACCTCCATCCCTCCTACCTGCGCAAGTCGGAAAGAGGGAGGAGAGAAGGCGTGGAGTGGGTTTTACACACATCACACCAATCAAATGAGCCCCTCTCCTCGCCCTTAACGCGCCGCGCGAAGGCGTAATGAGAGTTTACTCAATTCGCCATGGCAGAAGAGAGCAGCAGCGTCAGACGGCCAAACTTCTCCCAGGAGGAAACTGATGTTTTGGTCCAGGAGGTCCAAGCTCGCAGTGTCCGAATATACAGAACAACGAGCAGACCTCCACGGGCTGATGATGCAAAGGTAGCCTGGGAGGAGGTCACCACAAATGTAAATCAATGTTGCGTTTCTCTCGTGCGTGCGCTCTCTCTTTCTCTCTCGCAGTCTCACTCTGTTTCTTTTCTTTTGACTTTTCTAAGATGACAGATGCTGAATATATACTCCCTATCTGATGCTGTGGCTGTTTGTGGTTGGCTGAGAGGGATGTGAACTCATTAGTTTGCAGCTGTGTTAATCAAATCAGGTTGGGTTTCCATTACGCGTGCCAAACGTGCCAAACAGTGCCAATCCCCTTTGATCTGACATCAGATGTGACGGGACAGTCGATATAGAGATACATTTATGTGCTGATTGCAGATAGTTGCATTGAATAGTGTTTTTGTGGCTATTTATTGCATCGTTAATGTGCCTGATATTCTGGAAACCTGCCTGTGAGGTTTTGGTGACGTGTGCGCACTGTCCGCCGGTCAGCCAAACTTCGACTTATACCGGCTGCGCTCCGCCTGCGCTGACAGTAGATGTGGTTTCAGATGGCGAGCTTTTAGCGCACCTTCAGCGAAGCCTTTTGGCACGAAACTGTCACTGCGCCAAGCTGGATCTGTCGCCACCACACCCATCTCAGCGCACCTCGGTCTGCCAAACTGAGCGTGCCTCGGGTTGCGCTGCTCGAAACTAGCTCTGCGCGGGGTTCGCCACCCTGCGCCACCTGTGCTGCGCCGGGAAACTAGAGGCCTATGTATGGATGCGTGTCAGGTGTGCTGTGGAGATGTTGAAGGTGCAAAACCAAAAAGCATCGATAAAGGGTGGATGTCACCTGTGGGAAGGGAGAGAGCAAGTGAAAACATGAGGCAGCTTGTGTAGCCAGGTGAGCTTCATCAAGGCAACGACCCTCCCATGTCAGCCAGCTGCCTGATGAGGTTGGCCAGAGCATCCTCCAAGACAGTGGGAGGGGCGTCACATGCCATGTACCCATTTTAAATAACTGTAATAAAGTCATGGAAAGGAGTCATAATATTATGGAAACATTTCAAAAGTTAAAACAACCAGAAATTCACAAATTTCTAACTTTGGTTGATGCTGGGCAGTCTTTACTCTAGGTCTGCAACTAACCATTATTTTCATTGTCGACTAATCTGTCGATTATTTCTTCGATTAGTCGACTAATCATTTTATCGAAAAATGTGTTAAAATGTTGAAAAATGTCGGTCTGTCTCTCCCAAACCCCAAAAAAATGTCATCTAAAGTCTTGTTACATACTCAAGCCAAAGGGTTTTAATTCACAGTCATGGGAAAGTGTGTAAAGCTGCCAATATTTGAACGTAAGAAGCTGCAATAAGAGAATTTTGGGGCACTTTTATAGTATTTTTCTATGAGAAATGACTCAAACCGATTAGTCGACTACGAAAATAGTCACCGATTAATTGACTAATTGTTGCAGCCCTAATTTACTGTGTGATTTTCAAAGCATTGTAATCAAACCGACTTAATGATAATTCAGATTTTAAGCAGTGTGACTACCTGTTGGGAATATTTCAGCGGTATATTGTGAACTAAATGGTACTTATTGTATGAAATGGCTGCTTCATCCTTTTTTAATCGCCATAGAAATTGTTGTTTTTTTAATGATGTTTGCTGAGGTAGCTTTTTTCAGCACAGTGGTCCACCTCTGCAGAAAACCTGTTGACCTCCGACCTTTGACCTCCTCCGCTTTAGTT